GTAAGAGCTGTTTAATGTCTAATTTATATCAATCACTGTGCACCCCTGAACCTCCTCTCTTCAGCAAAATGCCACATCCAGACTAAATGTTTATTTAGTTCAATAATAAATGTCATTGAGTTCAAATTGGCCTTTACATGAAGTTTGTGGTGATTATAGCTTAGCATCAGCTTTAAATGGAAGGCTGCGTAGGCATGTCATAAAAACTGTATGCCAGTCACACTGTCTTATTGGCAATGACACTCTGTCTGTCTCAGTCTAGACTAGTGCGCTCTGCCTCTGGCGATTAAAAGAAATGAAAAACAACCAGAACATTGCTGAACAAACCCAGTGTACTCTGTGACCTGACTCTGCACTTTTGCAAGGTATGTCTTCTGTCATTAGCTCACAAAGTAAGTGTCTTTTCAGGAGTCCAGCGTCGCAGAGGATGGACAACCTGCGCTGTTTACACATGGGCATCTCTCCAACTGAGGACAGCAAGGCTTGCACCAGGTACAAACACACGAATAATTAAATGATTATGCATTGTAATTTTGAACAGTGCAAGAAGATATTACTGATCTTTAATATTATGATATGTTATTTGTTTAGGTTCATTTATTGGAGCAATAGTTTGCAGACAAATCTGATTTGCATTATTTTACCATTAACCCTTTAACCCAAGACATGTTTGGTGTCAGAAGTAGGCATGGAAATTGTGGGTCGATGCTGATATACAATATTTTTCATGTGCATATCTGACAATGCTGATATATAAACATTTATAAAATGTAGAACTTGGGACTATCTCCCTGAATTACCATTACAGAGAAGATATATTTCTGAAGTGTTACAAATGCAGTAAAATGAAAAAAATGCAGATATTTTAGCATATTAGCCCAGCATTTCCAGTTCAATACATACAGCATCAAATATTGGCCTGAGCCAATTTTAAACATCTGTCTAGTGTCGGAAGATTTTTTAAACCAAAATCTGCTGATACTGATATGATTCCAATATCATCATGCAACACCTGTCTAAAGCTGCTTTATTCTTTGTGTTAGCAATAAAAGGCTAATACAGCTATCTAGTAATGAAAGCTTACCCATCCAATTAGCCCAAATGCCTAAATAATTTCATTCAATCAAGTCTTGTGTTTTCTCACACTGTAGATGTATTATGTAATATGGGCAAAAGTTTAGACACCCTGGTCAGCTTGTGTTTTGCTTATTTGCAAAAAAAGTTAACACATCCTCTACAGGGAACAAACTTAAATATTTTAAGGCAGTTTCTGCGAAATTTTGCTCACAGTATCTGTTTATTTGCTGAATTTAACTTATTGGAAAAAATCAAACACATAAGATGTGCCATAACTTTTGCACAGGCCATGTTTTTTTTTTTTCCCAGTTTATTAAATTCAGAAAATGAACAGTAATTGCAGATTAAAATGTGTATTCCCTATAGAGGATGTGTTAACTTACGTAATTTGACCAGGGACACCCAAACTGTATCATATATCACTGTCTCACTGTGTCTCTTATTTATATATATATATATAAAATCAATCACATAATCTTTTATATGAAGTGTAATGACTTCTGCCCGCCTCCTAAAACACCAGTTGATTTGTAATGGTCACTGTTCTCCATTGGGTGGGGAAAATAATATTAACCAATGATATTATTGGTTTCGATGCTAATTTGTTTATATTCACTTCTATTACTTGTTAGCTACATTACCTCATACCTACTTCAGACCTTCTACTAATAAAGAACTTTGGACACAAAACAAATCTTGGCTGATTGACTGCATTTCACTACATTTACATTTTAAATGTATAAATGCTGCATTATTATTTTTAATCTGTCTCCACCACATAAGCCTGAAATCTAAATACACTGCCTCTTTGTCAGGTGTGGCTGTGTCACGATGCTGCGCTCCCCAAACAAGACCAATGCTATGAAGCAGTGGGAACAGCGCTGGATTAAGAACTGTCTGTGTGGGGGTCTCTGGAGGAAAATCCCCAACTCTCTCTCGTGAAGTTCTTTTTCATGGACTCTGCCAAAATCAGACAGACAGTGGATAATGTTCAAAGGATGCATCTCATTCAGTCCTAAACCCTCTGCAGTCCAGCTCTAATGCCCTGCTTCTGTGGGTCACAAGACTAGTGAGAGATACGGCACTAATAAAGAGAGATTTTTTTCAGTTTTCTTCGCGCTGCCAATTTCAACCCCAGTCAGACATTTCCATGTCCATTACTTGCAAAGGGTGAATGTCATGTTTTGACTGTAAATATTGACCATGTTACTTTTTCATATCTTCTTTTGTACAATTTTAGCTTGCAATAAACTCTGTCAGATTTGACTGTAATCCAGATGCCAATATTATTTCAAGCACTGTGCCAAAGCTTGCATTTTTTGTACAGACTGAAAGGGTGTCACTTGGGTTTTAAACACTGAACCTGAATGGAGTCTTGCTGGTGTGTCAGCATAATGCCACGGAGAGGTGCTAGATCTCGTACGAAACTCTCCGCTGGCACATCCAAATGAGTCTTGCCTGAAAACACTGATGGGTCAGCAGATTTTAAAGAAGCAATCACGACCAGCTGTGTCAGAACTGGTCCGCTGGGTTCATTAACACAAAGCAAGGCAAACTGAAATAGAAAAGCCTATTTGACAGGCTGCCATTTTGTAACACTAAATTGTAAGTCTTTTCTTGCACTACAAGCAGTGATAGACATGTCCTGGATTTGTGAAACTACTGCTAAATGTGTCAGGGAAAATCACACTTCGGCTCCCTCAGCTGAAACATCTAGTTAACTTTTATTTTTAATTAAAGTTTAAACCAGAAGTGTGGTCTACATAATGGGATGGTATACGTCAGATACCCGCTAGCAATAACAGTAGGACATGCACAACAATAAGATGTTTGCACAAAAGAAAATAATTAAAGTACAACAAAACACAATTCTTAACTGCTATGGAACTAAAATCTGATTTATTATTAGGTAGAAATCCTAAATGTTCTAGTCGAACTAAATGATAAACATTCAGAATTACATTGGAAGTGTCATTTTACCATGAACGGAACATTAATAAGATAGTGGTAGGCTATTTATGGCTATTTATAACAGTGTTTTAGTCGCATTGTTATGTGCTGGCTAGGCTAGTCTTGTTTAGTGTTATCAGGTTAGCTGTTCGCAGTATACCCACTACTTCAGACTAGACTCTAAACCACTGGTTTAAACCAATACACACTGAGCACAAAACACTGCAATCCTACCCTACAAAACAAAAAATAGATCCCATATGTAAGAAATTATTATAGGTATATTGATGTTTAGACATCATGTAATGCAAAGCTCTACTGACTTCACACTAAAATTACCTTTGTAAGTAAACAAAGAGTATTTCATTTTGTGCATTTAGAAAGAATAGAACAGTTAGTATCAGATGAAATAGGAATAAATAGTAATAAATCTTGAGTTACTTAAAATGTCAAATGATAAGCTGATAAAATCAGTCCTCCTCCAGAGCTATTTAAGGTTTGTTCTAGGGCTGTACGATAAATTTTATTTTTATCGTTATCGCGATATAAGTTTCTGCTAGAGACACATCATTAGGGCACATTTCAACTAAGCAAAAATAAATAAGCAAAAAATATTTGGTGTCCCTATATAAAAATATGTTTATGTTGTGGCCTTTGTAGAAAAAGCTGTTGAGATAATGCTGTTTCTCAGCCTTTCAGCCGACAAAAAATGTGCTTGCAGCTGATATAAGCATCTGTTAGCATTTGTTTTCTTTTTATTTTAACTGTGAATAGTGTTTTATATATATTATATATATATATATATATATATATATATATATATATATATATATATATAGTGCTTATACATGTATATATCTGTTTCTCTGCATACTTTGTTAGCCCCCTTTTATCCTGTTCTTCAGTGGTCAGGACCCCATGGACCCTCACAGAGCAGGTACTATTTGGGTGGTGGATCATTCTCAGCACTGCAGTAACACTGACGTGGTGGTGGTGTGTTAGTGTGTGTTGCGCTGGTCTGAGTGGATCAGACACAGCAGTGCTGCTGGAGTTTTTAAACACCTCAGTGTCACTGCTGGACTGAGAAAAGTCCACCAACCAAAAATATCCAGCCAACAGTGTCTGAAGTCATACTGTACAGCAAGAGATGAGCTATCGTCTCTGGCTTTACATCTACAGGGTGGGCCAACAACGCAGGTGCGTCTAATAGAGTGGACAGTGAGCGGACAGTGTTTAAAAACTCCAGCAGCACTGCTGTGTCTGATCCACTCAGACCAGCGCAACAAACACTAACACACCACCACCACGGCAGTGTTACTGCAGTGCTGAGAATGTTCCATCACCCAAATAGTGCCATGGGGGTCCTAACCACTGAAGAACAGGGTAAAAGGGGGCTAACAAAGTATGCAGAGAAACAGATGGAATACAGTCTATAACTGTAGAACTACAAAGTGCACCTATATATATATATATATATATATATATATATATATATATAATTTTTTTATAAATTTAATTTGTTAGGGACATAAAATACAATTTAAACCCACACATGCTTACTTTATGTGGCTATAAAAATCTCTGTTAATTAATTCAGTATTTACAGGTCTAAAACTTTTGTCCTGAGCTTGTGCTAAAATATAATGTATTTTTTTTTCCAGAACTCTACTGTAAACAGTTAGGTTAGCATTCCTGGTGCAGTTTTCTGGCAGGTTCTCTCTCATGTGCTAAACTGACCAAATGAGGTTCAAGAGACAGAACATCAGACTAATTGTAGCTTTTCCAGTTTTATCAAGAGCTTTTATTAGGAATAGGTCACTTCAGATACCCAGAGGGACTTTACAGTGATATTAAGTCTTCAGATGATCGATTATAAACACAGAACCTAGCAGTAGGTCACCGCGCGCTGAGGCAGTCTGGTGCTTCGTGTTTGCTGAGGGAGAGTTTTTTTTCCCACACTCGTCGCCCACACACTTCATTTTCTCTCCTCTCACAACACCGCTGTCTATCTTTCGACTCGTTCATTACTGACTGTAACTCTGAGCTCCAGCTCCGTCTCTGCTGAGAGAACAGAAGACCTGCACCCCCCCTTCAGTGAGAAAAACACCCTGGCTGTTTCTCTTCAGCCCGGCAGCCTCAGCAGAGGAGCCGCTTCGTGCTCGCTGTGAAACGTGAGCAGAAAGAGGAATGAAAGCGGAGAGCTCCGCAGTGTAACCCGCGGAAGGAGGAACGGCTTTAGACACCTGAACGGAACCGCAGAGGTCCTGTGGAGAACATTTACATTGATTTTGGAGGTCGCGTCCATTTTTTCCCCTGCTCAAAGGTGAGTAAACCTCTGTTACCTGCCTGTACTACACCGTTAACGGTGGGCTAGTGTCAGTGGAATGAGCAGTGTTGTCGCAGTGAGGTTACAGTGGGCGAGCAGTGAGACTTTTGAACAGCCTTCCTCTCACGTAGTGCTGGGTCTGAATACTATTTACACCCTTTCCTGCATTTCCACTGTATATTTGTTCAGCTACGAATTAATAGTCGTTACTTCTCTTTCATGTTGTCTAATTACTGCTATACATTCCGTGCTGTAGGAAAACCCTCCGCCTAAAAATATGATTGTCACCAGTCAGTCAAGGCAAAAGTGGATTTGAGGGAATTCACTGAGGAATTGCAGATCAGTCAGCGTGATAGTAACGTGTAAGGGAATGCGGATATTCTCACCATATCCTGGACTTTCAGACTGGACCCTTCTGCCCAGTTATTCGAATTTATTATCTGTTTTTGTCCGCAAAATAATTCCTCACTGACAAGTCTGTCTGTATCTATATACTGGTATGTATAAGCCAGTACTCATACAGAATCAGCTGCATTGGACCATTTTGTTCAGTCATTTCAGAACAACATCCAACAGAATGTAGAAGCTGAGCTGTTGTCACTGTTTCAATCACTGCCAGTAAATATAGCCCCAGTATAGAGAGCATTTAGGGCTGAAAGATGAATCATTTTCATGTTGAAATTGCAATTTGAGAGAATTCAATTTTCAAACAGCAAGAGCTGCAATTTTAATTACAGCCTATATCATTAAACATGGAGCTTGTGATCTGTCTGTGAATCAGTTAGGTCAAACAAAAGCATTTAAAGGTGAACAATATGATATTTTATCGTTATCGTGATACATTTTGTTTTCGTTATAAACTAACCGGCAATCTGGTGCACTGCCTTCAAGCCTCAAGCCAGAAAAAATATATATGCTGGTCTTCTTGGCCAAAGTAAGAGGCCCTTAATTTGTAGAAAATAATTGCAATTTAAAGGGAAACTTCATCCATTTGACAGAAATCCTACATAATTAAATGATTAAGATGTACACAAAGTCATTCAGAGTGGTTTGATGTAAAATGCTCCATTTTAGAGAAACTTACCAAGTCAGAATTGTTCACAGTGGTGGTGATAGGAACCAAACGTCTGAAGAGTTTAATGCCTCTAAAAGCTCCCTCACAGAAAGTTATGACATAAAATGGTTATGAAACTATATACATATACATATGATGACTGAGACATTATTTTATGGTAGTTTTGTGATAAAATTTTGGCCTAAAATACATTTTAATCAGTTTATTTTACTCTATTCATGGTGGAGGGATACATGAAGGGTGTTCTGAGGCAATAAAGTCCCCACTTATTTCAGATTCAGATTTAGACTATTTTACCCTCATCAACATTACATATAAAAACTCGAAAGACGTGTGGGATCACTGGTGGTTTTGGACAGGAAACAAAATGGCTATGTTTGTGTTGTAGACATGGCGACCCCTGCTTTCTGTCATCACCGCTGTAAAGAAATCAAAGTCTGTCATTTTCTCTACAATGAACCACTTCACATCAAACCACTCTGAATGACTTTGTTTGCATCTCAAGGACTGAATAATTCAGAAATTTTGAAAAATAGGTGGAATTACCCTGTATGTCCTTTAAATTGTAGTTGCAATATTGGTTAGAAAAAATTGTTCAGCCCTAAATGTATACATTGTAAACTAAGCCTAAATGGCATTGGCAGCCCTGCTCAGTCAGATTCACCTCAAGTGCCTAATAACCACACACTGTAGCACTGGGAACAGGATGTACCTCGGCTACTACCTTAAACTCCAGCTCATGCACGAGGCCCATTTTAGGCTCATTTCGTCTGAGAGAAGCTCCTGTGGGCATACTCGGTTTAATTAAATTGCTCTTTATTGGAAGCCCTTCAATGTCACGTTGGATATGTGACCACAGACATCGGTCTGTTTGAGGAGCAGCCCAGTGCCTACACACACACACACACACACACACACACACACTGACTCGGAGAGCCTCTCAATACCGCTTTATTGCCTGGAAGGCATATGTGCCTCCTCAAGATAAACAAAGCTTGTCTTCATGAAAAACAAGCACCCTGTTAAGTTTAGCCAAGCTTCACTTACTCCCACTTGAAAGTTGAGTGCATGTCTTCAGGCCAAGAGTTTCGCTGTTGGTTTTCCCTTAAAACGCAACAGCATCGATGTGCATCGTGGTCTTGTTTGTTTCCTTCTTTTTATAGTCTGACCGATATGAATGTTTCATGATACTGACATTAAGGAGGAAGGAAACACAATATCTGATAACCTTTTCTGATATGGAGTACTGTGCAAAAGTCAGAGACCACCCTAAATTTATTTTATTTTCCAGCTATAATGTACAAATTATGTATTTTTCAGGAGAGATTTTTGACGTACACAAGGAAGAGGGGAAAGTCAGAGCAAAATAAGTGAGAAACCAGGAGTTTCCAAAATTGGAGTTCAAGAAAATTACTAAAAAGTACAGAGAAAATGGACTCTTAATAACTGTGCAGGACTAGGTAGGCCACCAAAACTGTCCCCATCAGATAAATATTACTTAAAGCTGTTGCTTCAGATCTGAAAAAGTCTGCAGGTGTTTCTGTCCTTCCTTCCACTGTGAGAAGACAATTCAATACTGTGAGTCTGAAAAGATGTGCAGCTGTCAAGAAACCCTCACTGAGAAAAGAAATAGAAAAAGAAGAACATTTGCAAGTTAAATCAAAAATCCAGACCTCAACATCACAGAATCGCGAGAAGAAGAAAATGCAGCCAACCTCTAAGACTGGACTTTGAAGGTGTGGCAAAGTGTCCGTTCGGAATTCTTTGAAGCCACTGAAAGCAGCTCTCCCAAAAAGAATGAAAGCTGTAAAAAAATGGAAAACCACACAATGAACACTGTAAATTTGCTATTATATTTAGTTGTTAAGGCTTCTATGTAATTTTCTCTTAAATGTTTTTTGCTTTTTTACTGATGCTGAAAGTGAATAACTTGTACTTAATGGCTGTTTTAACTGGATATTAAGTAAATGAAGGGTGGTCTCTGACTTTTGCACAGTGCTGCAATTTAACATGGTCAAAAGTTAATCATACTCCAACAGTTTTAGTTAAACAGAGCTTTACTGACTGATATGTTTGTGAATTGTCAAGTGTCAAAGTTCTTAAATAGGAGAAACTTGGAACAGAGTTTCAAATAATATAAATATTGGGCAGGCTGCAGAGCTTTACAGGATTCTTAGTGTTTCTCAGTTTCTGTTAATTCTTAAATTTTGTAATTTTCTCTTCATTAAAAGTTAATTTTTTTTGCTGGTAACGTCATGCCTTTGTTAAAGTTTAGATGTTGGATATAGAGTGCGTTTACAAGCACTTAATAATCCGATAACAGCAGAAAATCAGGTTTTGTCAGTAGTCCGCATTTGTATGCACTTGAGTAATCAGATAATGTGAAACTCCAGGTCTTCATGAGTTAGACAGTAATCAGATGTCTGCTTTGCAACCAGCCAATAAACTCACAGAAGAAGACGTGACGTAAACGCACTCATATTCCATATTTTTGTCATTCTAACCATGATGTTTTACGTTTACATGTACCAGTTCAGCTTATATTGCTGTAATAGATGTACGTGGTCTTTACAAATTTGTCTCTATGAAGTTGTTGTTTCTCTTCACATCAGAGCTATCTGTTCATTAGAATATGGAACTGAAAGTCACTGAACGTTGTCTTTATTTTTATATTTTTTGCCAGTATTGCTAAACCTGCAGGGCCTTAATATCGGCCGATGTTATTGGCCATCTGCTATATCGTCAAGCCCTGCTATTCATTTTGAGAATCTTCAGTCAGAAATCATTTGATTTCTTTTTCTGGGGCGCGCACAGTTTTTCTCTGCACCTCTATCATTCCTTACAGTAGCATCAAACGTCATTATTTTCTCATTTTCCAATCTTCCGCTATCGCAGAGAGGAGGATTTTTTTAGACTAGAAATAGCACTGCCTCTGGTCTTTTTCCCATCTGTTTCTGTAAGAGATTTGATAGGATTATTCTGCCTATTGAAATGGAGGAGAACTGAAGCGGTTTTAACTGCATGTGTCTCTGCGAGAGGACCTGACTGCATAGCAGCTAGTAGAAAATTAACCATCAGCTCATTTCTCTTTAGGTCCGTGTGTTTTTTGGAGAAGCCATAATGATGCCCACACGAGAAAAGATCAAGAAGAAACCCCCCAAAGACAGCTTAACATTATTACCCTGCTTCTATTTTGTAGAGGTGAGCTCCGTCGTGTATTGCCTTTGGGTGCTGTCTAATGATATGTGATTAGTCATTTTTCCTCCCTAATTACATTGTGGTTTGGCAGCAGTCTTTCAATGGCCATTCCAGGACAGTGCTGTGCATTGAGAAGCAAAGTCGGTGGCAAGGCAGATGCTGCTGCAGCTTTAGCTATAATATAATATTACAGTGTATTGGTTTCTAATAGCCTAGTAATTAGGTTCTGATTACAGTGCTGTGAGCCTGTTTCTCTTCTGACCTCCAGCTGCCCATCGTGGCCTCCTCCATGGTGTCCCTGTACTTCCTGGAGTTGACAGATGTGCTGCAGCCGGCACAGGTGGGCTTCCGCTGCCATGACCGCTCCCTCAGCATGCCCTACGTGGAGAGTGGAGAGGAGCTCATCCCTTTGCTGATGCTGCTCAGCCTGGCTTTTGCCGGACCTGCTGCTTCTGTGAGTGCAGTCAAATACTATATAAGAAAACTCTGCAACTCCATTTACTTGTTTGACCCCTTAAGCTTATTTAAATCTGCTGCCAGAGGAATTACAACACGTGCACATCCACATTAGCTATAGTGAAACATTGGTGTGTAGAACCAGTGCTTACTGCGTGCTGCTGAGATTTATGTTACCATGTAAAAGATGCATGAGGTTTCCGTCATTGTTGAATGCACTGTGCTTTTTTCAGAGTGAATGTTCGAGCTCGTTTGGAGCGCAACTCAGACAAGTGTTTATGTATCTGATTATTATCAGAGTAACAATAAAACGTAACCCAAAAAACCCCAAAGATCTCCAGTTACAACGAGTAACCTGAAAAAATTTGATTGGTATGCCATACCTGCGTTATGAATGACTGTTCTCTAGAATGCTCTCTGTGAGTATGTATAGTGTTCTCCCTTCCATTTACACTGTTCTAGAATGCCCACCCCCCCCTCCTTTCACAATGTACTAGAAGGTCCCCCTACACTTCCACTGTTCTGGAATATTGCCCTACATTCACAACCAAAACCATTAACCCCAAACATGTGATTGCTATGCCATACCTGTGGGATTGTTCTCCACAGTTCTGTCTTTGTGTCTTCCAATTGCACTGTTCTAGAATGCCCCCCCCTCCATTTATGTTGTTCTTGAATGTTCCCAGTATACTCACACTGTTCTAGAATATTGCCCTACATTCACACCCAAAACCAATAACCCCAAACGTGTGATTGGTTTGCCATACCTGTGTGGGATTGTTCTCCACAGTTCTTTCTTTGTGTTCTTCATTTACACTGTTCTAGAATGTTCTCCTCTCCATTCACACTGTTCTAGAAGGTCCCCCTATGTTCACACTGTTCTAGAATGTTGTACCTTTTATCCCACTGTTGTAGAATGTTCACCCAATGTCTCATTTGGTTTGTCAGTTCTTATTCTGAATTCCACGGAATTAAAGTGACTGCCAACATTAGAATGCTGGTGTTTGTTTGGATTGTGATGTCAGTGTGTTCTGGCTTTTTTTAAATTGTCTTATTGACACAATTTTTTAATGCCATTAATGTATTTTCCTAGTTTGACCTTTTGAACCCCCTGTAGGCTGAAGCCCACCTGCTCACTCTTTGTATATTTCTCTGGACATGAACTACATGTACTCTATTGGAAATCACATGATTTTCATGTTCAGGTTTATGTGAACCCTGCATTCACACCATGAAAAATGTGTTCGAAGTAATAAACATTCAGATGAAGCTTATTTTCTCCGCTCATATATCTATAACAAAATACAAAATACACTGCTTTTTATAAGGAAAAATTCTTACTTTGCGCTTAATTATGATTTACAAACTCAAACAAATGTGATTAATCCTGATGAACTGCACAAAATAATGTGATAAATCTTGATCATTTATTTTAATTGTTTGATGATAGTGTTCATGACAGTTCATGACGAATGGACCAATATAAATTTTGATCTAAGGATGTTTTTCTTTTCTACATTTTCTCCTTCTTCTTTAAAAATGGGCATTTCCAAGATATTTCTTCTGACAGCGATGATCCACCAGAAAAAATAACCAGCGGCAGCTGCTTTTGAGTACAGGATAAGCTCTTGACTTCTAAGTCTAAAAACGACCCTCAGCATAGATTTTTTTGAGGTATTTTGTTTTGTGTGTGTGTGTCAAAGTTCTGCATTCCCATCTAGCTGAATTTAATGAACACAAGATACCACAGAGAGAGAGAGTGTATGTTTTTGTGTGTGTGCTCTAACCCTGTTGTGCTGTGTTTGAGGCCAATTAGCTCAATACTATAAGAAAGATCCTTGCAAAGTATTCTGTGGTTTGGATGTTCTGTCTGAGTGATTGTCTTGTGTTTAGATCATGATTGGAGAGGGCATTGTGTACTGCATGCAGTCCAGACTCAAGATCCGGCCTGGTAACGAGGGGAGTATCAACGCTGGCGGCTGTAACTTTAACTCCTTCCTGCGCAGGACGGTACGATTTGTTGGTAGGTGCCTGAACTTCACTTACTCTAAAACTAAGGCCAAATAATACTGTATTTGAACAAACCATGATATGTGTTTCCCAAAGCAAACTCCAAGATAAGGCCTTGAAGCTGTTCTTTATCTCCTGAGCAAGTTCCAATATCAGTTTGGGATTTAGGGCTTTTTCATCCCAATCTCATTTGACCAGAAATACTTGTCTCTTGCTAAAATGAGAAGTTAGAAACTACCCATAGGAAAACTTTGTCACTCACCAACAGGGTTGGGATGCAACTGAATACAAGTATTCAGAATACATATTCAGAATACAAAAATCAAGTATCAGCATTCCGTCTAAGTTATATTTTCTAAAGGTAATATTCAGAGTACAGTTACCTTTTAAATTTGTACGAGAATACTTTTAAAATACTTACGCAATAAGTTTGAAAATGTATATCATCTTTAAAAGAAACACAATCAGTGCATGTTTTTTAACCATTTTAAAATCAGTGACTCCAAAGAACAACCCAAAAACTGATATCTTTGCAAACACTGAGCTCTGCTAAAGCCTGAGTAGACTGATAAATCGATATGATGATCAGTTATTAATCTCAGTGTTACTGAGCTCTGCTAAAGCCTGAGTAGACTGATAAATCAATCTGATGATCAGTTATTAATCTCAGTGTTACTGAGCTCTGCTAAAGCCTGAGTAGACTGATAAATCAATGTGATGATCAGTTATTAATCTCAGTGTTACTGAGCTCTGCTAAAGCCTGAGTAGACTGATAAATCAATCTGATGAACAGTTATTAATCTCACTGTTACTGAGCTCTGCTAAAGCCTGAGTAGACTGATAAATCAATATGATGATCAGTTATTAATTTTAGTGTTACTGAAATCTTTTGAGAAATGATTGAGCTAGGCAGTTTCCTAGTAGTAGACATGTTCATGAGTCATAAGCTTAGCATCAGTGTTGTACTGGCCCCATTTGTGCTTTTCATGGAAAATCACATAGCTTCCCACTTTATAGTCAAATGTGCAAGGTTTTGTTATTGGAATATATTTGCTTAGTTCATGAGACAGCAGTGGGATTATTGGAGCTGCAGTGGACTAAAGCCAGTCAAAATACTTGTAACTTCATTTAAATGAGTGAATCTTTCATGAAATATATTCAAATAAGAATTACGTAAGGAAAAACTGCAACCAGTAATATTAAATAACTGTATAAATTAAATAAAATGACACCAGCAGAGTTTTTCCCATCTGCCTTATCAGTATGTATTCTAAATGTATTCTGAATATGTTACTTTTTAATGTATTTTAACGGAATATGTTTCTGAATACCTTTAGGACTGTTTAGTCAGTATTCAATGGCCATCACATCTTTTTCAAAGTAGTCTGCCCAACATTGCACATTATGATATCTCGCTGATGTTGTGAGAGTTACAGGATCTTTTAAGGATCATCTAGGGCTCATTAAAGTCTTTAAGGATTTAAGGTCCATATAAAACAGTAATAAGATGGAGGAGAGACTGAGTTGTGAGACACACTGTGTTACACCTGAGATGATTATTTCAGCAGCATTTTAGAGTCATGAGTGATAAAAAAGATCATAGTTAAAGTCTTTCTTATGGCTATATCATTTTTAAGGGAAAGCTGGTCAGTCCAAGACTTACATGAGGTAGAAACACTTGCTATGGGAAATTATTTCAAATTTTCAAAATTCAGTTAACACTGAAGTGTGGCATTCATATGGCTTCATATGGCTACACAACACCTACGTAAGACTTTCATGACAACTGAAATCTAATCAGACGCTGACAAAGGCTTATTCTAACAAGCGTCAGTTAGACAAATTTGAATTTGACAAAAGCAGTCTTTATGACAACTGATGCTTGTTGGAATACACCTTTATAAATTTGTATGTAGGATTATGTCAGTTTTAATAAAAGGCTTATATAGGTGTCATGTATCCTCACGAATGTTGCCCTTCAGTGAAGTGATACCAAAACTGAAATGTTATATGAAGCTGTAAAGACGTCCTGTCTGCCAGAGTCAGTGAGGTTGGTCATAAAGGGCAGAAACTTTGCAAGATGGATTACTAGCATGGATTACAGTGGTGATTAGTCAGAATTAGCAACAGTGAGCACTATCCCCTATCTTACTGCACATTACTGTATTGGTAGCCATGTAAACAAAACCAAAAAATGGAATATTTAAAGCAGGTTTTATATGCACTTCACTATTTCACGTCCTTCAAGTGCGTCCCTTTGATACCAGGCTTATTCTTTATTGATCTCTTTCACTCTCATCTCTTCAGGTGTTCATGTGTTTGGTCTTTGTGCCACGGCGCTGGTCACTGATGTCATCCAAATTGCCACCGGCTACCACACACCCTTCTTCCTGACCGTGTGCAAACCCAATTACACTCTCCCTGGAGTCTCGTGTGAGAAAAACCCTTACATCACTAAAGACATCTGCTCTGGCCAAGACCAGCACGCCATTATCTCCGCCAGGTAATCCCATGTCCCCCCAGGAAGTGGCAGGGGATCAAGATAATAGCCGATAGCCACTAACACAAAGCCTTAGTCAAAGAGGATTTAGAATTGGTCCTATTTTTGCACTTTATGGTTTTATCTCTTTTGCCTTACCCTTAATGCTCATAATCAAATCTGTTTTTATTTGCGCCAAAAAAAGAACTCGTTTCCATGGTTTTGTCTTACTCTAGAAATTTGCTTTCCTTTGTGGCAGGAAAACCTTTCCCTCCCAGCATGCAACTCTTTCTTCCTTTGCTGCTGTTTATATTTCAGTAAGTTTCTTCGTCCCAGTGTGAATGTGCGTCTGTTGGGTGTCAAGAGCAAAGCTAACAATGTTTACTCATGCCCCACTTAGCAAAGTTTGTCTGGATGGCAAAATGTTCCTAGATGAATACAAAATGTTAGCCAAAAAGCTTAACTTACAATCTGTTTGTTGTAGATTTTTAAAGTTCAAAATCAGACAATACTCATGAATTTAAATGTATTCTCATGAGCTTGGATCACATCAGTTCAGGGAGTTTTTGTTGCATGCTCAGCTTTTGGTGTTCAGCAAAGAAAGGGAAAATTAATTCTTGATAACAGCTTCCTATTTTAAAGTACCTGGCAGATCCCAGGAAGCGTCCTGTTGTGCAGCAGAGTAGATAAGGCAGTCACTTCCCATTATCAGCCCCCCAGCCTGCACTTATGAAATTACCAGGAGTTGCCAGGCTGATAGATAGCAATTTGTGCAAGCTGGTCTGGACCATCTGCTGCGTTCTCTGTTCCTGTAGATGTACTTCAACTCCACTATCTCAGACAGCACCAAGCTGCTGAAACCTGTGCTGGTGTTCGCCTTCGCTATTGCAGCCGCCTTAACGGGCCTTACTCAGATCACTCAGTACCGCAGCCACCCCATCGACGTCTATGTGGGCTTCTGCATCGGCGCTGGTATCGCTGCCTACCTGGTGAGCTGTTGTTTCTTTTACGTCAAGAATGATGCTCACAGGGCAAAGATGTTCTTTGTTCAGCCTCACAAGTGAATTGAATTGAGGACTCCCATTCATTGGGGACTCCCTAATTATGCCCATTTGTATTGTTATGAGTATCTGCTGTCTTACTGCAATGTATAGTACTATGAAAAGGTCAGAGACTATCCTTCAGTTATAAAATTTCCAGTAAAAATGGCAATTAAGTATAAGTTATGCAGTTTTCAGGAAATGTTTCAAAGGATATTAGATATAGGACAATCCACTTACTCAAGGAAGCAGAAAGTCAAAAGAAAATAAGTGAAAAAAACAAAAAAGTTTCTAAGTGGACTTATTTGAAGCTATTTGAAGCTATATTTGAAGCTATAGCAAAAGTGGGACTCCTAACAACCATGCAAAACCTGGAAGACCACCAAAACTGTTACCATAATATAAAACAATAGTTAAACCTTTCATCTTTGAGAGGTAAGAAAAGATCCACACTTGCTTCAGATCTTAAAAAATCTATAAAAGTTTTTGTCCATCCTTCCACTGTGAGAAGACAACTCAACACTGTGGGTCTGAAAGGATGTGTAGCTGTAAATAAGCCTTTACAGAGAAAAAGAAATAGATAAAAAATAAGAAAAATAGCAAATCAAACAAAGAAGCTGCTGCTGTTCTCAGAACAATGGGCTGACCACCCCAGCGTCCAGACCTCAACATCTTTGAATGTGTTTCGGATTACTTAGAAGCAGAAAATGCAACCAACTACTAAGACTGAACTTTGGAGGTGTGGAAAAATATCCTTGCAGAAAATGACAGCAAAGCTCCTGAAAAGAATGGAAGCTGTAGTTAAGGCAACACACTAAATACTGGAAAATTTAATAGTATATTTTGTTGTTGAGGCTTCTGTGTATTTTTCTGGTAAATATATATTCATTAGTTTTTATCCTGATGCTGAAAATGAAGAGCTTACCTAACAGCTATTTTGACTGGAAATGAAATAAATGAAGGTTAGTCTGTGACGCTTGCACTGTAATGTGAGTCCTCCCTTACCTAAGTCGGGGAAGATTTCCCTTTTCCACTCCTTGATCTTTTTTTTCCTCCCTGAAGGAGACTGTAATGTCATGCTGTAGACGCATTCTTGTCAGTGAAGCTCCAGCTTCCTTTGCTTCCACTCATATCTTTTATGATTTCCCATGTCATCTTTCTCTTTACTCTGCGTGCACTGGCGCAAGTCAGCAAAACAGAAACCCTGCTGAAAAACAGTTTCTAAATTCAGAGTGGATAGGCAGTAGTAATGTTGTGTGCTTGTATGCACTGTTTAAACAGAAGTACAGCACATTGTTTAAAACAGCAGTGGTCACCAGTGTCCTTTTGCCTGTTTTCATCAAACCATTGCTAATTAGAAAATGATTGTCTAACTTGAATCTGCTCGATTGGTCTCAGGCGTTCCATGCTGTGGCTAACTTCAGACCAGCAGAGGACAATGTTTCCATCCCTGCCCCTCCTCCTCCAAAGGATGCCCTGAGAGCTCTGGCCCAGCGAGGTCACGATTCTGTCTACAACAAAGGCCATGCCTCTGAGAGCAATGAGGAGATCACATCACCAGCTTCATTGGATGGACTCAACCGGCCCCTGCAGCGGGAGAAGGCTTCCTTGGGCAGCCTGAAGCGAGCCAGTGTAGATGTAGAGCTCCTTGCCCCACGCAGCCCCATGGGTAAAGAGACCATGGTGACCTTCAGCAACACTTTACCTCGGGCCACGGCTGCCGGCCCTGAGGAGCCTGTGAGGCGTCTTGTGACGGTGCCCGTGCCCGTACCTATAGACCCTATGCGCTCGCAGCAGCTGGTCTCCGAGTGGAAGCAGAAGTCTATGGAGATGCGTAGTGCCAGCTTGCAAAGTGAGGAGGGTAGTAAGGAGAGTTCTGAAATGGACGAAGATACTGCTGAAGAGGAACATGCACTATCCCCCTTGTACACCGCCACTGTGCCACAGCCTACCAGGCCAGCGAATCCACCAGCTGGGGCAAGGGTGGTGATGCCTCCTAGGCCACCAGGACAGCCCTCTGTCCCTCCACCAGTGTCTCCCAAGAGTGCCAGTACCCGTGCCAAGTGGCTGTCCATCACGGAGAAGAGTGGTGCCAATGTTCCGGCCACCCTCAGGGCAGGGAACCAGCCTCGCATCATGCAGGTCATTGCCATGTCCAAGCAGCAGGGTCTTCTATCCGGGACGGCCAAATCTTCAGAGGCCTCATCCTCTTCCGCAACTTCTTCCCTCGCAGGCACAGAGTCACCTCCCTACCGCCCCCCATCTGAACGGGACAGCAGTTCTGGCATTGTCACGGTAGACGCCCATGCGCCCCATCACCCGGTAGTCCATATGGTGTCAAACCCTGTTAACCCTTGGGAGTGGAGAGGGACTTCAAATGGGAACATGACTCCTGAGTCATATGAACTCAATGACCTGAACCGCGAGGGCTCACGGGGCTATCGTCAGGTCAAGAACAGCTCGCCATGTTCTTCCACCAGTGAGGCTGACCACGAGCCGCCTCGGCCTCACCAGCCTCCCCAGCTGCTTCAGATGGATCAAGCCATGGAAGGACGCAGCCTGCGGCGCAAAACCCCTTTGGTGCTATTAGATCGAGAGAGCAGTCAGAGCGAGCAGGAGAACTTCTACAAAAAGCTGCAGAGCGGCCGACGTTTCAAAGAGTGACGGGGCATTCAGAACAGCCAAATGCATGAATGCTGATGCAGGGTGGACCGATCTCGCTATGCATCACTCAGACTCTCTGTCATTTTGTACATTTTATTAGTTTCAATGACTCTGTTCACTGGTGAGTGGAAATACCTGAGTGGATTCATGAGGGAAGGATTTATCCCAAGGCTCTGTTTGAGAATTGCTGCTTCAAACAACCTAATGAGCACAATGGTTTTCATCACACTTCCGCTAGACTGGAATGCAAACAAACCTATAGCACCAAGGCTCAATGAAGAACATCTACATTTATGTACTGTATTTACCAAAATCTCAGATTTTCAATTTTAAACATTATGAAAGGCAGACTGTAAATTATGGAATTGGCTGTTTTGTATTGTGGCCTTTTCTCTGTTAATACTTGATTTGAAGCACATTTGTGTGTGCCTATGATGTCCAGTGGATTTCATGTGTTTGTGTCCTTTAGTATATTTATTATCTTAGAAAATACTGCCTTGGGGATGATAATGCTCTAAGAATTTATGGAGTTTAAATTAATTGAGCTTTTCATTATGAAAGAGAGAACTGAATTTCTTTCGCTTGCAGAAATGTTTGACTCAGAAATGCTAAATGAGCTATCAATGAATGGCATTTGATGTTAGCAATTCAACAATGTTAGCAATTTTGAGTCGAGTGCACCTTTACAGGGAAATTTAGATCATTTTACTAATGGAGCGCACACACTCGTACCCTGGCTACAGTTACTATTGCTGAAATTGACCAAAGATGGCCCCATTAAAAAGAAACTTTGGGGTAAGTTAGCACAAGTTAGTAAGAAGTCTTGTGAAGGGTGAAATTATGCGTCTTCTTATGTGTGGTTTAGGGAATGGTTTGGCATAGCATGTTTGACTGACTCAGAATTGGAGCAGAACTCATTGCTGTATTGATTTAACATCAAGTTCCACATGTCAGAATGATCTACTTTTCCCCACAAGAAAAGTCATATCAGTTTACAAAAAATTACCAAGAAAAATTACAGTTTTTATCTTTTTGAATGAAGGATTGCATTTTTCTCAGCACTTAAAAAAAGCACAGGAAAGTGCCTCAAGTGGCAGGTTGGTTACAGCAATAGGGGGGTTGCAATGAGAGTGTTTTAACAATTGAGTGGGATTCTTTATGACATTTGCAGTCTCCATGTCTTGCTTATTTCGCTGGTGTAAGAAAGCCTGCGGCTTATGCTCTTGTGCCGGCTGACTACTGCATGTTATGTAAGTGGTTGTCAAGTTGGAAGTTCAGCCTTGTCACAGTGATGAATTAAAAAGTTGTTAACGGCAAGTGTCTTTGTATTGTGTGACAGAATACAGTACACTGAGGCCACAAGATTGCTAGTGAAGTTACTTAAGATTCAGAGAGCAGATCATTGTAAATTGTGAGTTTGATTCCTGGCAATACAGCAATCTGTAGCCAGGCATCCAAGCTCTCTCTGGGTGGGCAGGATGGCTTTGCCTTTCCCCCATCACCCAACACAATACTAGGCTGTTAGCTGAGTTCTCCTCTAAGTGTGTTAAGCTGCCCAACGATGTGTGGCTGGCTTCACATGTTTCAGAGGAAGTGTGGGCTAGCCCTCACCCTCCCAGCCTGGTAGCATCCTCTAATGGGGGAGACAGAGATAGTGGGTGGAATTGAACAAGATTAAATTGAGAAAAATTGGTAAAAACCACGATTCCATAGTAATAACATTGGCTAGCAATTTACACAGAGAAAGTCAGTCAGTCTGAAGTCTTTAACAAAGTCTGAGACACAGGCTCTACTCTGGGCTCTGGTGGAGTATAGAGTCTCATGATTCTTCCATATGAGAAAGTGTAACATTACAGAGAAGCTAACTTGCATATCAAAAACACTAATATACTGTACTTTCAAAACTTTCAAATATGAAAATTCAGACTCTTTTTGGCCTTATTTGACAGTTGGGTAATATACACTTTTTAAAAAGATGGTTCTTTAATAGTTCCTCAGTAAAGACAATGGTTCTATATAGAACCATGAACATTTAAGGAACCAACTGCATGCTGAGTGCATCGTGAAATGGTTCTTCAGATTGATGGAGCATGTGTTGTATAAAGAACCTTTTTGAAAAGGGTTCCTTATAGCACCAAACGGGGTTCTTCTATTGTTAGAGGCTTAACATCATAACAGTAGGAGAGCCCTTTTTGGATCTATATAAAAGGTTCTAGAACCATCTGCAACACCAGAAGAACCACTTCACCATATCAAGAACCCTTTAAGTACGCAAATGGAAATGGTTATTTTGAGTGTTCATGGTTCTATATGGAACCATTGCCCTACTAAAAAAACGCTCAAAGAACCATCTTTTTTAAGAGTGTAGCAATGACAAAAAACTTTTCCTAAAATCACAGACACGGTTTTGGCCCAGTCACGATCAGTTTGACTGTCGTAATCACATAAGCACAGGGTAGGATGAATAACAGTCCTCTGCGCTTTCACACTGGTCCTTTGAAACAGTCAGAAAAGGTTTGTTTTGTTTGTGCTGGCACTGAGGGCATGCAGTGTGCACTTGAGATTATTAGTGTGAGAACAGCCTCGGGCACACAGCACTGTGTGGCAGTGGCCGCTGGAGGCCCAAATGTGTACACTCAGCCCTGGAGCAAGTCCTGACAGAGAATGCAAATAGCTATGCTAGCTAGCCACCAGAAAGCACAAACATGTCATGCATACAGGGATTTCATCATGTATCCCACGAGAACGATTTAGCGTGTGGAATATAAGGTAACACTTTAGTATAATGCTCTTTTATATACCCCTATAATGTGTTGGTTCAACCGTATCAAGGCAGTAGCTGGTAATTATTGGGCTGCCCATTACTACTTTACTAAGCATCAACTAGAGTGAATTAAGCATTTTTGAAAGAACCTTTATGTGTGTATTATACATCATAGTCTTGTGCACACCCTTCCCTAAGAATTGGGTCTATAATGTGCTTATTTTCTTTTTATTCCAATGAATACCTCAGTAATAAATCACCAATTAGCTCTAAAAAACAGACAAACTATTTCAAAGTGAAGATAACATGCAAAGAAGGTTAACTTCAGTTGTATAGGCCTTACTTGAACATGGGGTCTGCATGAACTGCTTATAGTAAAATGTACTAAATATTTTGACGTATAATACACAAATAAAATCCTCTGTAAAATGCTTATTTGACTCTATTTCTAAATTAAGTGACCCTTTTTAGTCCAACAACGGGCAAATTTCACCTCTGCATTTTGACCCATCCGTGCAGTGAAACACCACATACACACTAGTGAACACACACACTAGGGGGCAGTGAGCACACTTGCCCATAGTGGTGGGCAGCCCTATCCACGGCACCCAGGGAGCAGTTGGGGGTTAGGTTCCTTGCTCAAAGGCACTTCAGTCACGTACTCTTGGCTCAGGGGATTGATCTGGCAACCTTCCAGTCACAAGGCTGGTTCCCTAGCCTAGTTTAACATAGCCCCCCATTCTAAAGTGCTACTGAATAAAGATAAACATTCAACTTAAATACAAATTTTCCCAACTTTACCTTAAATATAGTAGATGAACCGGGACATGTTTGATGTCTAAGATTAGCTTCTTTATATTGGCACTGAAGCAACAAAGCTAATGCAGCTAACAAGTAATAGAAGTGCATACAGTGTCAGTTAGCATCATATAAACTGCATAAATCAGAACATGCTTGCCTCAAACAATGCTGAGTTATGAAATAATGTCATTTAAACTATTTGATATAGTTTCTGACACTGAATGCCTACTGTTATCTATAAAAATGAACAAAGTCCTGGCAAAACTCAGGCTTCAAGATGGCTGCTAGTTCTGTTTTTAGCAGTTTTTACAGATTAGCATCTCAACAAGGGATGAGGCAAGTGTGTGCAAATCATGTAGACGGTTCATTCTCCATTTGGAGTGGAAATTCAGGTGGATACGTTTTTTAAAAATCAGTTTCTTTCATCCCAAAACGAAATAATCTTAATATGTCCATGAACATCTCCTATTATCATATATGCAAAAAAGCATATTTTACAGTCACTAGTGTTGAATGCAGTCCAAAAAAACATGCAGTCAGGCTGATTGGACATGCTAAATTGCCCCTAGGTGTGAGTGTGTGTGTGACTGTGTATGTCTGTCTGTCTGCCCTGTGATGGACTGGCGACCTGTCCAGGGTGTATCCTGCCTTCCGCCCAATGACAGCTGGGATAGGCTCCAGCAACCCACCGCAACCCAGAAGGATAAGCGGTTTAGATGATGTATGTAGTGTTGAATGAACACCAGTGACTGTGACTCCAGTGACAGTCTGGTTAAAATTGAGGATGTTGTAAATCGACTGACTCATTGGTGGTCAGGTAACCTTGTGAAACTATTTAAAATCAGTAATCAAAATGATAGGGCTACAGGCATTTTCAAATTACATCAGAAACTGAAAAACGACAAAAATAGAGATACAAGGTTCGATATGCAGCGATATGCAGAGCAACTTCAGAAATCAGAGAAATCATAAGGGAAAAATGTTATTTAATCTTAGGTCAACTGTGTAAATGTGCACACAACCTTTTGGAGCTGTGCCTAATATTTTAGGCATCTTTTTAAGCCCTGCAACCTTTGTGACATGGTTTCCCACTCCAAATGGAGAATGACCCAAATTCAATTTCTTACTGCTTTAAGGCTCTTCATGCCACACTAGTGTACTGACTTATTGAAAGATTTGTTATTTGTAACTCAGGAGACGACTATAATTCAAAGTGTCGATTTAAATGAGCTGAGCTAAACACTTCAGCTCCTAATTAGATCCTTAAGCTCCGACAATAAAAGCCGTTTAAGGATTTCAGGAGGGAAAATCTCAGAACACTTATCCAGAAACATCTGCCAATGTATTTAATGCTGCTGTTTTAAAGCTACTCTTTTCCCAAGTTATATTAGCAGTTGTTGAATGTTCAGAATGATTTGTTAAACAGGACAAACGAATAAATAATGAAATCATGAAGGCTCAGTGGATGGGCAGGTTGTGCAGCGCCCGCAATGCTCCAGCCAGAGCTGTGGAGCTCACACCTGGGGCTGTATTATCCTGTTGCCAGGCAATGGTCAGCATGCTTATTGTTAAAGATGTACAGAAGACCCACGCCTTCTCATCTCTCTCCTATCAGCTCTCCATCTTTCACTGCTGTGTTTCTGCACTGTGTTTAGTAAATAGGTAGGATGCAAGCCTGGGCAGTGATTACTGTGTGTTAGCAACTAAAGTAATTAGTTAAATCTGGAATTTGTGCACACCGCACATTACACTTCCAAGCCTAATGACTGTCAAAGTTATCTTTAGATCAAATGCAGCCTACATCACATGGTTTATTACTATGTCATGTAAAAGCAAGTATCTCCTAATGACTATCCTGAAACAGTCCAGAGCTAAAACATGCATCACTGAAGAGCGATTAGTAGTTTCAATTAACTGGTAACTTAAGGCCTTTGATTGCCTTCTTAGGAATTAGTACAGTGCACTCCACAATTATAGGCACCCTGGCTAAAGAAAAGGAAAAAAAAAGAAAAACAAAACCAAATTTTAAATTCATATATATAGTAATGTGCAACAATCAGAGACCCTTCATTCATTTAATTTCCAGTCAAAATGGCTATTAAGTACAAGTTATTCATTTTTCAGGAGATATTTCTGAGGAGATTAGATGTGAAATAATCCATTTACCTGAAGAAGAAGAAAGGAAAAAACATGGATTTCCAGAACTGTTCAAAAAATGGTTAAAAGGATCAGAGACAGTGGGACTCCTAACAACCATGCCAGACCTGGTAGACCACCAAAACAGTCCCCATCAGATAAACAGCACTTAAAGCTTTCATCTTTGAGAAAAAATCAAGCTTCATTTTTGCTTCATATATGAAAAAAGCTATAAACGTTTCTGTGCATCCTTCCACTGTGAGAAGACAACTCAACACTATGGGTCTGAAAGGATGTGCAGCTGTCAAGAAGCTCTTACTGAGAAATGGAAATAAACACAAAAGGAAGCTGCTGGTGTTCTCAGAACAATGGACTGACCACTCCAGAATCCAGACCTCAACATCACTCAAGGTGTTTGAGATCACTTGTCCTACAGAGCCCTGCTGGTGACATCCCTTGTAAATAAAAATAAGGCCACGACTTAGTAAGACATGGGAACAAGATAATTAAGTCGTGGCCATGACTTAGTAACGCGTGAGAATGAGATCCTAATGCATGGCCACAACTTAGTAAGGCATGATATTGTTACCACGCCTTACTAAGTCATGGCCATGAC